GACAGAAGGTCCTCAAGAGGTCGGAGGAAAACTCACCACCTCTGTCAGAGTGCAGACGCAGGACAGGAAGATCCGTCCGGAAACGGCGGCGGAGCTGGAGACGAACCGTGCGGATCCAAGGGATCAGAACAGCAGGGACCTCACCCTTGGTGCGCAAGGGGAAGACCGTGGTGTAACGCGAGTAGTCGTCGACAACCAGCAAAAAATACCGCTCACCGCCCTGACCACGAACGCGGGCTGGGCCCCACACGTCCAGGTGGAGGGTCTCCAGAGGAGCCTCTGTCGGGGGGAACGAGGAGGAGTGAGGAGCGGCGCGCTGCCGCCCCTCGACGCAAGGAAGGCAAGGCGGCGCAGGCGAGGCAGGGAGGGGAGGGAGGGACCTGGGAAGACCGGACACAAGGAGGCGACGGTGCATGCCACGAAGGCGTGGCAAGGAGGGGTGACCCAGGCGGTGGTGCCAGAGAAGAGTCTGGTGCGACAGGGAACGACACTCACAGGCGTGGGCCACCAGACCTGACTCAGACACCTGACCGACAGCAGCTACCTGGGGAGACGCAGTGGTCAGTGTGTAGAGACTCGACCCCGGCCGACGGGTGAACGTGGCCAGGTGACGGCCGGTCCTGGAGCACGTGCAGATCGCCACACGCTGTCCGCCAGGGGTAAAGGTGTCAACCCACTGATCCTGGAGGACAGCGTTGCTCACCAGGTTCGTCGAGAACGAGGGGAGGTGGAAACCCGACAACGAGCCAGACGGAACCGCCGGACAAGGGAGGACAGTGGTAGACTGGGCAAGGACTGGGCCCCCAGAGGGGTCAGCCAAGGAGACTGGGACCGGTGCAGGAAGCGGTGTGAGCTCAGTACTGTCACGAAAGAAGCAACGGGAAGCACCTGAGTCAAGGGTGAAGGTGTGACAGGCCTCAGCCGGTGCGGTACCTGAGAGAGCAGTCTCTGTGGGTGCTGTACCTGAGAGAGCAGACTCGAAACCAGCCGGGACAGTACTGGAGGGAGCAAGTACAGGGGGCACCATACCAGAGAGAGCAGACTCACTAGTACCCAGGGCAGCGGGCTCTATACCTGGGTCAGGCGGCACACACAAGTAACAGTCTCCCTCGGCACTAACAGTCAATGCATACATGGCAGCAATAATAGCATCATAGTCAAGAGCAAAGACATCAACACCAGCCCTCATGAGCTCAGCCCAGCGGGGGCGCTCAACATCCGCACCCATCTCCTCACGCCAAGCGTCGTCAAGGCGGGAGAAGCAGCGGTACGGGGTGTGGAACCTCCCACACGTCTGTCCCTTGCGGTCACCTGTGCGAATGACATAAGAACAGCGGGCACTGGCCCCCGACGTCCCACGCTGAGCAAGCCACTCACGAAGCTGCTGGGTCGTCTGGGGACGCTGCTGCTGCTGGGAGCTCTGGCCAGAGCCAGTGCCTCCACTCCGACCTCCGCCGCCACCACTACCACCGCTCCGACCGCCACCGCCACCACCGCCACCACCGCCACCGCCGCCACCGCCGCCGCCGCCACTACTGCCACTGCTCCCTCCGCCGCCCCCGTCTCCACCACCGACCCCACTCCCACCAGCGCTCCCGCCACCGCTCCCTCCAGCACCGCCTCCCCCCCCACCTCCCCCACCTCCTCCCCCACCAGCGCCACCACCACCACTTTTGCCCCCCTTGCCCTTGCCGGTGCGGCGCCTCCCACCAGGAGTAGAAGCAGCGCCAACAGACTCAGCACCAAGGAAGTCAACAGCAGCAGCAGCAGCGTAGGAGGGAGCGAGGGGAGAGGGAGAACACCCCTCAAAGATGGGGGTGCGAGGAGCGCCACGAGCAGCACCGACAGCTACAATGCTCTTTTCGGCCGCGAGCAGGTGCTCCTCTAGGAGGGCGACTGTGAGCTCAGTGGGACAGCGAGCAAGGAAGTGGTCTCGAACTGAGCGGAGGGTGTCAGGGAGACGGGTGACTATGAAGTGGAGTGTCCAGTACAGTGGAGGGGGGTTCTTAGCGCAGAACTCGGTGGGAAGGGCGGCACGCAGGCGAGCATCACTAGTGCGAAGGTGGGTGATAAGATCGGCGACTGTAGTAAAGGTGGACAGATCGGGGAACAGGTACGGCAGCATGAGGCGGCTAAGCTCGGCTGTGGCAGGCGAGGAGTAGCGAGCGACGACAGCGTCGTAGAGGGCCTTAGCGGATTTGCAGTCGCCAAAATGCTCTAGCTCAGCTAACGGCAGGTGACTGCGAATGGCTAGGCGAGCAGCTGCGTCACGAGTCTGCCAGTGGGAACGAACACTAAGCTCAGCTGTGGCAGGAGGGGCAGGCGCAGCACCAGACGCGTAGTCATAGAGCGACACATGCTCCTTGCTATCGCTCAGGAGAAACAGCTGCAGGTCATCTAGCCAAGCGGTGAAACGCACAGGGCGGCCCTCAGCATCGAACGACAGCACGCGAATGGAAGCCATAGCGACAGTGTGACAGAGTAACGCAAGCTGCCGCAGCAGGGGAAGACGGATAGAGAGCAGCGGGCGAGGCTGGCGCTACGGGCAGGTGGCGCTGCAAGCGGTCAGTGCGACGGGAGGGCGACGCTGCGAGCGGGCAGCGCGGCGGACGGGCCGGGAAGCGGGCAGCGCGGCGGGCAGGCGGCGCTGCAAGCGGGCAGCACGGTGGGCGGGCGACGCTGCGAGGCGGGCGGGCCGTAAAGCGGGCAGCGGGCGGGCGGGCGGGCTGCGAAGCGGGCAGCGGGTCGAGCGGGCCGCGAAGTGGGCAGCGAGCGGGCGGGCGGGCTGCGAAGTGGGCGGGCCGCGAAGCGGGCAGCGGGGCGAGCGGGCTGCGAAGTGGGCGGGCCGCGAAGCGGGCAGCGAGCGGGCGGGCGGGCTGCGAAGTGGCGGGCCGCGAAGCGGGCAGCGAGCGAGCGGGCTGCGAAGCGGGCGGGCCGCGAAGCGGGCAGCGAGCGAGCGGGCTGCGAAGCGGGCGGGCCGCGAAGCGGGCAGCGAGCGGGCGGGCGGGCTGCGTAGCGAGCGGGCCGCGAAGCGGGCAGCGAGCGGGCGGGCGGGCTGCGAGCGGGCGGCTCGGCGAGGGGCGCGCGAGGGCGCTAGTGAGGGGCGCGCGAGGGCGCTAGTGAGGGGCGCGCGAGGGCGCTAGCAAGGGGCGCGCGAGGGCGCTAGCAAAGGGGCGCGCGAGGGCGCTAACGAAGGGGCGCGCGAGGGCGCTGACGTGAGTGCGCGCGAGGGCGCTAACGAGGGTGCGCGCGAGGGCGCTAACGAGGGCGCACGAGGGCGCTACGAGGCTAGGGAACGGGGTAGCGTGGTAACCGCATGCGAGCGGTGGTGGGCCCTAAAAAAAAAACGATCGGTAGGTCCTAGGGACCTCCTGCTCTGAATACCATTTCAGAATCACTAGGCAAGAATGATGAACTAGCAGAAGTTTTGGGTACAAATATGAAACCCTAGTTGGGGTTGTACCCCATATTGGCTACCCCACTACAGCCTACAAGCATACTACAGTTTAACAAAAGAATTGCGGAGAGAAAGGAGAAAATGAAACAGGTAGGTAAGAGACACGAAAGAACACAATAAAAGACCGGATAACGCTGAAATTGAACAAAACTTCAAAGAAAAAATGACGGTAAAGAGAAGGGAACGACAAGGAAGGTACCAACGAAGTGAAAAAAACATGTACAGAGAGAAAAAATGAACCACAGCAGAAAGCTAGACGGAAGGAACGGAAAAAGATTAAACTAAAGACAGCTAAAGAGCACTTAAGAATGAAGGCGATATTTAGAAAAAGATGGAAGGAATGTTAAATGAAACGCTGCTGAGAGAACGAGAACACAGTGAGAAAGAGAGATACAAAACTTCATGCATAACGAAGAAACAAAGAATGGGAATGGACAAAGCAACTAACGGACGGAATGAGGCTAGCACAAAAGATACAAGGACGTCTATAGTCGCATGGGTTTGTAGTTAAGAAATCGACCCTTTTTCTAGGACGAAATGGTCAGCAAGCCTAAGTCGACATGGATACACAAGATCTAAGCCGGACTAGTTTAGATCTAAGTTAATCTAGGTAAGAATCAAGTCGACCTAACAAACACTAATTGAAAAGGTTGAAGTTGTAAGCTAGGAGCTTACCTAGCGGAAGTCCCGTAGCCCGTTAGCAGAACGAGATGAATTTAGGAGAGGGAGGACTATCTAAGAATAAGAAGCAAATGAAAACTCTAAGCGGCATGTTGAATATTCTGACCTTGGAGTTAGGTGGAGCGTGAGTAGAGTGAGGCAGAAGAACAAGCTCCTCTGGCGAACCCTAGAGCACTTCACGCGCAAAATACATCAACGTATAATTTTAACGCCGCGCACGAAGCAGCGCACGTGGCACAGTTGTTTCGAAGTCGGCCTTGTTTCGAAAGGTCATAGTTTCGATTCCAACTGCATCCATATCTAAAGTTCCAACCGAAAGGGTGTTCCATTGTTAGTAATTGTTTCGTTTATAAGCCTTGTTGTTTTGTTTATAAGCCCTATCTGTTTCGAAGAAGATAATAACGAAACCAAATATGTAATTGTACAAACAGCTTCGCAACCCTAAGACGATTATGTCGCCTCTTTTTTTTTAATTGGCTGTCTCAATACCAGTACTAAAGGTCAGACAGGCCCATTTGCATTGGTATTTCTGCAGCTGTTACAATGACGCCACCAATTGCCCAGTGGAGCTAAACCCATCCTAGCTTGACTACCGTATGCAATCCCATCACCAAGCACCACAACCAGCAGTCTGCCCAAGACCTGGCAGCACACAAGAAGACTGCAACCCGCACGCTTCTGATGATTACATCCCGTAAGTAGCACTCATCAGGCCACTTTGACATCGAGGTGATGGTGGCAGGCGCATCAGATTCTTGAACATGATTCGCTGCACACACGACTACATCACTTGGTTTGAACTGGCCAGCAGGCAGCTGCTCGGTCCTGTCTGTGTTTGCCGATGCACTTTCAGCACGCTGCCTTACACCCCGTAAGAGTAGCACTCATATGGCCACTTGTTGACATCGAGATAGTACCTATCTTGATTCTTGAACATGATCTGCTGCACACAAGGATGGGTTATTCTTGTCCCTGAGTACAGCACTTTGAACTCCTTGCCAGCGCGCAACTGCACGCCCCCATCAGTGGTGTTGATTGCCAACTCGCAAAAAAATTGACCACGGGCTTTGCAGCACTTGTTAAACAAGAGCTTTCCAGTCTGGAAGTTGGTGTTGCCGGCTGCAAAAATCGTATCCATTTGGCAATTCCAGAAGATAAGCCTGCAATTAGGTGCGTGGAGAATCGTGAGTGCATGAAATAATGATTACAAGAACGAGTCCAGAACAAGTTGACATGCAACAAATCGCGACAATATGAGACACTGTTGTTCAAACAAAAATACACACCTGCCGATGACGTCATAGGGGCACAAGTTCTTGATAATCAGCTGGATCACCTTGGTGCCGTTGCCCAGGTCTGAGATAACGCGGTAAGTAGGAAGAATTGAGTTCTGGTCACATGCTGGGGTGCAGAGAGAGCGGGAGGGTGGGGTTGGAGACAGGAGCTCATAAGATAAGCAGCACCTTGGTGCCATTTCCCTGGTCTGAGACAACGAGGTTGGTAACAAGAATAGAGTCCTGGTCACATGCTGGGTTGCAGAGAGACAAGTGGGTTTGGAGAGAGGAGCTCATAAGATAAGCAACACTTTGGTGTTGTTGCCCTGGCCTGGTCTGACACTACGCGGGTGGTACAAAGAATCGAGTCCTTGCGGCATGCTGAAGTGCAGGCAGGGATAGTGGGGTTGGAGAGAGGAGCTCATGCGAAGGAACAACAAAGGTAGAGCGAGGAGCGAGGGGTCACAATGTGCACGAGCAAGGCACTAATGTGAGCGGGTCGCCAATGCGTCACAATGAGTCACGATGCGTCACAACTCCCCACGCACGCATTGCAGCAAGCTACTTACAGACTTTCTGCGACTGGAGCGACCTGCGCACGTGCTCCTCCGCTCCCGGCACCGCCACCGCGGTGGAGTCCCCCTCGCTACTGGCAGTCGCAGTAACAGAACGGTCGATATCCCCGTCGCTGACGTCACTTGCGGAGATGGAGCGAGCGAGGGCAGATCCGTGGGTGGAGAGCGACGGCGCGAGGGCGAGGGCGAGGGCGAGGGCGAGGAGCAGCGGAAGCAGCAGAGACAGGCGAGAGCTCGCCATTCTGCCTGACCGGCTTGAGAGACGACGAGGTGAAAACGGTTCAGGGATAAACGCAGACTCGCGGATAGTAATCAAGTCAAACTAGGGGATGCCTTGGATCAGCTATGTCACTTGGTGTAGCTGGAAGACCCAGAGCATGAATGCGGACCGCCGGCGGTTGCGGTACATATGCGTCGAAATATCCATCGCGGGAACCGAAGCGTGAAACGCCTTCAGAAGAGCGAGACGGCTCGGATACGCGAGGGACCGCCTAACCGTTAGAGCGGCCATCTAACCGTCGAACTTGAGGACACTCCGACTCGCCGAGACGAGAGAACCTCACATGCGGCAGTTGAGGTCAACGAACCGCTGCGAGAGAGTGGTGGAGTGGTGGGCGAATCGCGGGTGAAAAGAAAGTAACCGCCGCGTTTGGATTTCCTGTGAACCGCCAACTGAAGCACGGTGCATCACTGGCACCGAGAGCCAGTGATGCACGGTTGGCGCTCGGTCGCGTCGGCTTGAATCTGCTGCTTCGGATGAGCCTAACAACCCTAGACGGGATTAGCTGGGCAAGGAGGAGTGTGACAATACCGCATGCAAAACCGCCAAGTACAACAGCCGTATTTTGCCACAAGATAACCTAATAGCCTCTCGTGCGATGTTGTGGCTGGGCGCAACTGTCGCAGCAGCTGCCTAAAGACTGTCACACACGATACATCAAAATTTCTTAGAATTTGAAAGGCTGAAGAAGTGGAGTGGGCTACGAGAGAGCAAAATGCTCTTCAGAACAGTTGTTGACTTCACCGCTTTGAACCGCTACATACCAGCCTGTACCCGCCTTCTTGATGGGGCTCCAGCAGGCTGCTGAACGCCCTACAGGCTGCTGGGTCCCCGAGCAATCTACCCACAGCGCACACTTGTCTCCAGCTTTTAGGAAAGAAAACGCATGTGATGTTACGTAGATGCACTGGTAAAAGGCCCATAGGCAATTGATAATGCATTTTAGCTTATTCGGTGCTCCACCAGGAACCCACTAGCAACACCCATCCTTAACTGGATAGCATAGCACCACCAAGCACCACAAACAACAGCGCCTACCCTGTCCAAAACTCCCACACGAAATGGAACCCACACACATGGAATTTACATCCCATAGGTGGAGCACTCCTGCGGCCACTTGTCGACATTGAGATAGTAGCGCATACCATTCCTGAACATGAGCTGCTGCACACACGGGTAAACCGGTTTTGTATTCATATACACCACTTTGTAATCCCTGCCAGCGCGCAGCTGCACGCCCGTAGCACCGGTATTGATTGCCAGCTCGCAGAAATTCTGACCACGAGCTTTGCAGCACGAGTTAAACATGAGCTTTCCATTTTGAAAATTGACGTTGCCGGCTGAAAAAATCGAATCCATGTCGCAATTCCAAAAAACAAACCTGCGATTCCGTGCACGCACAAACATGAGAGCTTAGCAGTAATGGTCACAAAGAGGGAGCCAAAAAGTGCCAGGGCGGACGATAAATTACGAAAATTTAGTTGCTGAGATGATACCTGCCAACCACGTCCTCAGGGCACGTGTTCTTTATAATGAGCTGGTATGTATTGTTGCCGGTCAAGTTATCCGAAATGAAGCGGTTGGTAAAGCGAATGGAGTCCTTGCCACAAGCTGGGTGCAGGAAGGGCATTTGGGGATGAAAAGAGGAGCGCATGAAAGCACAACCAGGTAGAGCGAGGAATGAGGAGACTGAACGAGGTAAAAGGGACGAGAACGAAGAACGAGGAACGAGGACAAGGTACGAGGGATGAGACCTGAGTGAGAAAGCCCATGAGAGCAAGCTCAAGAAGCGAAGACACACATGAGGAGGGAGCAGGTCAGAGGTGCGAAGGGGTCACTAGAGCGAGCGGATCACCGGAACAAATGGTAACAATGAGTCACAACTCGCCACGCACGCACTGCAGCAAGCAACTTACAGACTGCGAGTTTTGAGACGTCTCAAAACTGGCCACGCGCGCACTGCAGCAAGCAACAACTTACCGACTTGATCCTGGAGCACTCGGCGCGCGCCGACCTCCTCCTCCGCTCCCGGCACCGCCACCGCGGTAGAGTCCCCCTCGTTACTCGCAGTCCCGGTAAGATAACGGTCGATGTCGCCGTCGCTGACTTCGAACGAGCGGGCGAAGGCAGATCCGTGGAGGGAGAGCAACGGCGCGAGGGAGAGCGCGAGGACGAGGAGCAGCGGAAGCAGCAGAGGCCGGCGAGAACTCGCCATTCTGCCTGATCGGCTTGAGAATGAGAGAGGTGAAAAGGTTCAGAAATTTACTCAGATTTGATGACACCTGGAACCAAGCTGGGTGACTTGATGAGGCTAGATGGCGCAGAGCATAAATACGAATTGCTGCCAGTCGCGGTACATACACGTTGGAATATCCATCGCAGCGACGAGGCGCGAAGCGCCTTCCCGATCGCAAGAGCAGCGGGGCGGCTCGGATAAACAAGGGCCCGGTGTTGCCTGGTTCAGCCGCCTAACAGTTGGTGCGGCCGTCTAATCATTAAAACAGCCATCTAACCGTCGCAAATGAGAACAAGGTTTCGACTCGCCGGGGGGAGCCTCTCGCCTGCGCAACTGGCAGTTGAAGTCAACGCCGGGGCCCTGCGAAAGTGTGGATCGGAAATTGCGCGGGGAAATTAGGGTTCGCGTCGGAGCTTCTGGTAAACCGCCAGCTGCAGCGATGACCCGTGGATGCTCGGTCGCGCCGCCTTGCATGTGCTGCTTCGGCTGAGCCTAACAACTGCGGAGCGTCGTCCATCTCGTCTTTGGAGCCGCTGCTGCGGTTCCGGCTGAGCCTAACAACCCTGGACGGGATTTACGGGGCAACGCGCAGAGTGCTGTGATGAGATCGCTTCGCATCATCGCACACGAAACCGCTGATGAATAGCAACAGCCATGGTCACAGCAAACCACTGCAGTCCCGAGCCTCGAAGTCAGGGAGACCAGTTGATCCTCGCTACAGTACTCTTCACTAAGAAATTCTTCCGGATGGAGAAAGGGGAAACGCGAAGACGGACGCTGTTGAGCGCAACTGCCGCAACAGCCGCTAACTGCTGCTGCTTGTCTTTCTCCCGCTCGGCTGTTCAACGGTGTGCTGTGTATCCTTTTGCAACCTGCTGAATATTTAGAAATCTAACCGCTTTCCACCACTTTGCAAGATTTTCCCCAGACAATGACTCCTGCATCTATCATTTATGAAGAAATAAAATCATAATAATTTCAAAAATTTAATAAATCTGGAAAAACGTGATGCAGGATGCATTTTTTTTTAATTAAAAATTTCTCCTGACTTTCCAGAAATTGTCTGTTGCCATACATACGTACTTCAAACATGTATGGCACACACTAATGTGTATGGAATCTGCTTATGGAATACGTGAAGTTGTCGGTGGCGAGGCTCAAGTCGTAGTTATTTCCCACCCGCCACTACCAGTATTTGTCATCCCGCGCATGCTCGCTCGAACATACCACGCCGCCTGCCTGTTATGAAGCTCACCAAGGCACATTTCGGAGACATGCCCGAGCCAACTGCGGCGGTGGTGGCCTTTGCCACCCTGCGTGAATTCGCAACTTTCTGGATCCGTCATTCCAGGGAAGCGAGTTGGCAGTGCTTCCCAACATCCATGCCTTCCACACACCTCGTCTCAGTCGCCGCCAGCCAGTGACCCTTCCACTGGGGGTACCTTCCTTTCCCTATTGCATCACTGTACGCCTTGGGGGTGCTAGATGGCTTTCATTGGTCGGTGGATGGCTATTCCTGATCTTCAAGTCGAAGGGTTTCCCGTTCAACGGGAAAGTTTCCTGAAAACGCGGCACGTGGGGTACTACATATCACAGGCTGCTCCGCGTGCAACTAGCACCTATCATCAGCGTAGTATGCTAGTATGCGCTTGGTACTCCGTAGTTTCAATACTGCGACCGTGCGATCATCCCCAGCAATCTCTTCCAATTCTTTGCGAGAGACGGAGGATCAGATAAGCCACTTAGTAGAGTCGTAGTGTAGTACTCCTAAAGAAGGTTACTATAGTTCGGTAAGAGGTACTACCTGGATCGGCTTTCCGCACTAGCACCACCGTCTTGCTGCTGCTTGTTGAAAACTACCAAGTCGTCGGCCACAAAGCACTGCATTCGACCTTCGTTGGCGAAACCATGGGCACCTTCTACGGGCACGCGACCCCGGGCTGTCTGCTCCTCTTCCTGGGCCTCTGGAACTTCCGCTGCTCCGTTTTAGACTTTCTCGCTTCTCCGCAGTCCTTCGCCGCGCGCGTGTGGCACCCCATGCCGCTTCCCGGGCACTGGGCGCGAATGCAGCTGTACGCGGTAGTGGGAGGCGGGTCGGCTTACATGATTACCGAGTTGATTAACATCTTTATACAGTCATATGTGCTGCTCAACAGCTACGAGGTGCGTATGGCTGTGTGGGGAAGGGGAGAGGGGGGGGAGAAGGGGGGGAGGGGGGGGTGGTTGGTTGAGTCGACTCGAAGATAGCCTCTTCACACGGTCATATGTCCTGACAAAGGTGCGTGCGGCTGTCCTGGGTGGTGGGAGAATGTGGGCCTTCTTATCCGCCTTTCCTTGTGATTTTTCCACCTAATAGCTGCTGGAATCGCTTGTCAATGCTGCTGTTACCTCGGCTTGGAAATGAATGTTTTCATCTTTGTGCGAGTCTCTTCGTTTCTCCTCTTTCGCAGCATCTGTCGGCCAACGTGGTGTTCGTCTTGACTTACGGTGTGCTTCTCCTTCATGACACCACCAGGTGAGACCTTGACTTGCCTTTTCCGCCCACTCCATTTCAATCCAGTCACTAGGCGACTTGCCAAGCTTTCCGTTTCATTCTGCTGGCACAAATTTCACCCCCCCCTCTGTATGATACACAGTTCTCCATTCTCATTTCTTTCCCCATCTGCCTGCTGTGTGAACCCGTTCCTCCAGGTACCTGCCGTTCCCCAAGGGCACGCTGCATATAATAGCATCAGTGCCATACACAAGTGCGGCAGTCATGTTTTTCTTCCACTCCACAGGGCACAACGGCCCCATCGAGGCCCGCTACCACATCTTCCTCGTCCTCCTCATCTCTGCCACCGCCCTCATGCTGCTCCTCAGCGCCGCCTTTCCCAAAAGCTTCCTCCTGGATACGCTTTCAAATCTGGGTATCATACTTCAGGGTGCGTGGCTGTTGGTGACGGGTGCATCGCTTTACGGTTACATGCAGCCGTCGCACTGCCACACCGATCCCACCGACCAGGATTACAAGCTGATTTGCGAGGAGCACAAGTGGGAGCACATGGGGTTGGCGTTCGCCTACGTGCACTTGGCAATGCTCATCTGCCTTGTACTGGTGCTCACTGTGGCGTTCTATGCGCTTGCTGCGCGGAATGCTCCCAGCAACTCCATTGATTTCATCCTTGGCACAAATGCTCCTGCGAATAGCAGCAACCCGAGCGGTGCTTTTGTCACTTCTGCTGCGAGTTCTGTAGTACATCCATGGCCTTCCGAAGGTGCTGAAATCGGCAAGAGAGGTCAAGCCACGCCAATGGCTGCTGCTATTGTGGATGTGGAGGGCGAAGCGGTAAGCTTGCTTGGAGATAAGGAATGCCACTCTAAGGTTCCCGAGTAATCTCAGCTTGCACTGTGTGACGTGGCGCCATATTTAAGCAAAATGTCAATGTGTTGCCACATATCACTGCTTCCCCATAAGCAATGCCTGCCCAAGTCAAATGCAGGCAAGTAAGCACTCTTGAAACCAGGAAGTACTTATGTCAAATGCGAAAGCTCTGAAAGAACTGGGCACAGGAAAGTGGGGATAGATCTACCTCCATGTTGGAAGAAAAGGGTAAAAAGGGAAGGTCCTACCGAGAATTGAACTCGGCCTTTCAGATTCAGAGTCTGACGTCATAACCACTAGACCATAGGACCACGGTAGACTAAGTTAAATGCAAAAACAGAACCTGAAATCGACGATGCACATACCTCATGAATTAGCAGCACCTAGAGGCACTTGCACCTGTCCATTGAAAGGATCGTGATAACCTGCAGCACCACAGAGAGATGTGGACAGGAGCAAAACGTGCAATGGATAGTACAGGACCTGGATGAGAATAACACCTAAGCTGGATTGGAAGAAAACATTTCTTCCCAGTGAAAGTAGATGTGCCACAGCATGGGTCATGCATGTATAAACTACAAAGCAGAAAGTCGAATCCAAAAAAAGGCATACCTTGCCTACTGATAAGCGAGACGCAGGATACTTGAAAGGTGATAGGCGTCCATGTTTGCCGGAACGAACTGATGGCTGCTTCTGCCTCCTTCCTTGTGCGCCACTGCCAGTAATTCAGTTTCTCAGTCAGAGGAAACCGCTTAAATAACGCCATTATCAATAGCATCAGACGTGAAGTGATGATGCATGTAAGACTATCCTAATCTCCTCACCTGGCCAACGGAGACGTGAGGGCAGAAGCGGTCAGCCACGATTTGGCTGAGGTCGTTGCACTCAGGAAAAGCAGCTTCCAGCGTATGCTGAAGGGCGATAAGAGGCGGCGAGGGAGTTGGCTGCAGCCACACAGTGCAGCTCTTGCCATGGTGGAAGACGTTGAATGAGGCGAGCTGGACCTCAAATGGCTCTGTATCTGCCAGTGCTGTTTGCTGCACGGCAGAGGTCACAGGCGGTGGTTCAGCAACTGAAAAATAGAGCACGGATTAGTTAACTGACGCACACTGACTCTCAAAACAGTTAAGTGGTGCACAAAACCAGGTAAAGCATTTCGACCTACCATGATCTCTGCGGCTCTGTGGAAGTTGTCCTCTTTGACTTCCCAAAATGGGTACAACAGGTTTATGTGAGGCATCCAGCGCTTGTAATGCTACGCTGACCGAGATAACAAAGCCACAAGCGTGTGGAACGGATTCATGAGCTTATCACTGGTTGGTCAACTGAAAGGGAGAAGACAGCTTCTTACAACGTGCATGCATGTCGTCCATGAGAGTATTATGCATCGTAAAGTACGGCTCACTTTATCGTGTACGATTCGAATAGCTTGAATAGAACCCCAAGTCTCTTGCGGAGGAATCAGACAAACTGCGCTCTTATGCACCTTAGCGGGAATCGCAGGTTCAACTAAAGCGGATGAGTCAGCGGAATTGTGAGACGCCATGATAACTGGAAATCGAGAAGAGAATCGGCGAAATTTGGAGACACGGAAGGTAACCGGAGTCTGGTCGCAGACGGAAACTTGACGCAGCTCGTGCGAAGATGGTCGAAGAAGACTGCTACTACCTCGACTTGGTAGGATACCGAACCTACTAAGCGCTGGAAATTTGCAACAGAGAACGCAAGCGGTCATGACGCGTCGCCAGAAAAAGTACAGCAGGACAACAGAAACACTAGCACACCAGGCTACCGAGGCAACTTTGAGCCGAATCCAGGACTCCCGAGGTTGTCATCTGTCAGTCCGAGCATTTTCCCTCGGCCTGACAGGATGGCCAGGAAACATGGTTCGGAAATCCAAGCCGGTAACCGCGAAAAGGCGAAACCCAAATCACCCGTGGCGACATTCGTCAGAAGTTCAACCCGTTGCAGCAAGAACATGTTCCATGCACTGAGCTCACAACCCATCCATCCTGCCCTTTACAGCTTGTCAAATTTCCCTTGCACCATCCTTCATCTAAACTGCCAGAGGAATAGCAAATTTCCGTCTTGCGCTCGTGTTTCCTCGCATCCTGCAGCACCTAATTCACCTCCACTTTCTCTTTCCTCACGCGGTTCCATCCTCATCTTCTGGGATAAAAAAAGAAAAGCATACATTTCGAGTACCCGCTAGTGCTTCGTGGACGGATTTCTGGCCTTCAGTCCAAATGGCGGCTCTTACTCTAGGACTCCAGGGTCGGGTAGCACTAGTCGCAGCAGCGAGTGCGGGACTCGGTTACCACTGCGCTCTCGCATTCGCCAGGTTCGCATATTCCCGGTCCTCCGATCCACCTTCGTACTCTCTTCCCTATCGCGCCTGCTATATCTCCTCTCGAGTTTGTCCACCTACCTTCACCTACGCTTCCCGTTTGTATCCCACCAGCGTCCGCTTCTTCGCGACGAGTTTTGTATCTGCCGTCATTACCCTTATCTTTCTTTCTCTCTCCCAGTCAGGGCGGGAGCGCGAGTAGCGATATTTTCGCGCTCTCCCGAGCGCATTGAGGCAGCCGCGGAGAAGATCCGCGGAGAGGTGGGGGACGCGCAGGTGCTTCCGCTCGTGGCGGACGTCCTCAAGGGGGACGAGCTTCAAGCCGTTGTGGATGCTACAGTGAAGGTATAAATTAATACATTTCAGATGTATTTGACTCAATGAGAAGTTTTTGCATCTGGCACATCTCACTCCGCTACTCTGCAGGAGTTTCAATGCCACGTGTTCTACAGTGGCCTAGGGTGGGCTGCTCGAAATTTCTTTCCATTCCCGCTCGCATTGCTCTCTCCTCTCACTTCTCCCCTTCCTCCAACATTGTTCATCTGCAGACGTATGGTGGGCTGCATGTGCTTGTAGCGAACAGTGGCGGACCTCCTCCTGGCACATTCGATAGTGTCACAGAGGCACAATGGCAGGAGGCATTTCAGGGGACTCTCATGTCCACCACGCGTCTCGTTCAACATGCAGTGCCTCACATGAAGGTGCATGTTTAGCAGAGCAGCGAGGACTTGACAGCATTCTAGTCTTGCGTGTGTGTCTGTGCATGTCTCCAATCTCCATTCTCAGCAGCATCAGAATCCTTAATTCCCATTAATCACGTTTGATCTACGTCATCCGCTGGAATTCAACCCTTCACACTCGTTCTGTTCCACCAATGTCATGACATCACTGTTAAGTGCAGACAGCCTCGTGGGGTCGCATAGTGGTCATCACATCCACGTCAGTCAAGCAGCCCATCCCAGGCCTGCTGCTCTCCAATGCCATGCGCCCTGCTGTCGTTGGCATGCTCAAGACCCTTTCTCTTGTAAGAACCCCACTCTCTGCCTTCCTTTTGCTCCTCCCATTCTCCTTCTCCCCTTCGCCTGCACCAGGCTTTCACCATTGCCCCCTCCACATTTGCTCTTTCATTTCACTGAGTCCATGTTCCAACATCACTACCTGTCCCATTCTCCAACCCTATACCGTATTCCCCACTTCCTCAACTGAAGGACCTAGCCTGCCACGGCATCACAGTCAACAATGTGGCACCAGGCAGCTTCGACACAGCACGGATCGCCAATCTTGCCACCAAACGGGCAGAGGCGTGGGGCGTGACGGTGGAAGAGGCCAGGAAGCGCATGGAGCAGCAGGTCCCCATGGGTAGGCTGGGTCGGCCAGAAGAACTGGCAAATGCGGTCCTTTTCCTGGCCTCAGATGCTGGGAGTTATGTCACAGGGCAGACTCTAGTAGTGGACGGAGGGGTGACTGCAGGATACTAGACCACTGCATGACACTGTTATCCAGCAAAATGTTCCAAACACGGGCTCTGGCATGCTGTATCACATAGTAGTTCAGAGCCCGGAATCGGACATGATTGTAGTTTCAGCAAGGTGGCATGTATTGTTGTGTGTCAAACGATTTTACGCCGTTGCTGCTTTTTTTCAACCTACCTTATCTACTCTGGGCTGTAGGAATGCAATGCGGGTATTTACTGTGCCTTGTACATAGGACACAGAGTGGAGGCAATGGAAGATCACGCTAAGGTAGAAACGGGAGGTCAGACTGCAGTCACCAAAGATGAACCACCTAGAATTTAAAAGGTCCCCTTTCCAAAAAAGCATACCCAGATGGTCTCAGACCAGCACTAACAATTGCGACATTTCCCTTCCTGAAATCCATTTGTGCTGTCTACCAGTGACTGCACAGAACCTGTGGTGACTACTGGCTGAGGAAGGAGACGTAGTGATGGGAGAGTGGTGATGTGGGTGGTCAATCGACTAAAGGGGAAGGAGGATCATTTAGGCTGATGAAGGAGAGATAATGGCTTGAGGGTGGTGGTGTGGGAGGTCGTCTACAGGAGGGAGAAGAATTGTGGGAATGATCGGAAGCTAAACAGGGCTAGACAGATAAAAAGCAGATGGAGGGAAAACGAGAAGGTGAAGGGCCAAAGGTTTGGCAAAGGGGACGGAGAAATCGGGTCGTGATTAACTGGAAATGAAAGTATCAGATGAATGGTGTGGTAAGAGGGTGAAGGGGAGGGGAGGGGGCTTGGGAGGGGAGGGGCGGGTTGCGCGGTTTTGGAATTATTCGGCGACGAGAGGGATAGTGTGTGTGTGAGGTATGTGCGTAGGGATGTAAAGGGGTGGTACTGTGCAGCGGAATAAATCACATCAAAATTGTGTTGGGTCTTTGACATGAGATTGCTCCTTCGAAAATGCTCACAAGTGAGATTCGTAACCAGAAAAGATTCTTGCGCCGTGGCGTACTGAAATTCGCATGAATCAGCAAGCGAAACGCACGAACTAGACCTTTCCGCCATTCGCAACGGTTCAAAACCCGTAATCGGCGCTGTTGAAGCCTTCGTCAAACAGCGTACCTCCCACGGATCCACTGCTGCTGGGACTGGCGCTGCTCTTCTCCGGCTCCGCGGCGACGACGCTGGGCACGGTGTCGAGGTCCGGCATCGTCTCGTCGACGTCGAACACGGCCATCGCGGGATGCGTGAACAGCTTCTCAATCAGCTGCGTGCCCCGCAGGGCGTTCGTCAGCGGCAGGTGGCCCACGGGCGCGTCCAGCTCCCACGAGAATTCCATCGGGAATTTCTTGTACGTGCTGTTGGGGCCGTACGTCCACCCGATCTGCAGAAAAAACGGCTTCCACTGCCGGCTCAGCGCGCGCCACATTTTCCGTTGCACGCTGAATCCGAACCGGTCCTTGCTGTACGCCCGCCAAAGCCGGTCAATTGTCAGGAGGTCTTTATCGGGAATGTTCTGTACCTCCGTGAAGTACACCCACTTGCGCTTAGCAGCGGCCTCGCCGGCTAGAACGCACAGCAGCCTCCGCGTCTCGTTGTCCGCCTCCTCCCACTGCCCCGCGGCGAGCTTGTCCTGAAGGTGATCATAGCTCACACCCGCGTCCGACTCTATCAACACCTCAAGATACTCCGCTACTCCGCCGCTCGCCGCCGCCGACGTCTCGGTGCTGCTGTCGGATGCTGCTATCGCTGGGAGCACGCGTCTCGTGCTTTGGGACTTGCAAGAAACGAGTGCTTTCGGCGGGCATTGCGCGAAGAACGCTGATCGTGGACGCTGCAGCAGCTTCGGGGCCTGGGCTTGCGAAACAAGCCTCTCTGCCGTGACGCTACAGGAACCGATTTCAATGACGAGCGATGTTACGGCAGCCATTGCAGTCGGTTCTCAAGGAGTAGGATGGACGAGGCTGCAAAACACAAAGCTATTTCTTCCGTCCACTTGTCAACCTGCTCTCTCAGCCTCGAATTACACCAAACAAAATGTCAAACGCTATCCGTATGTGTTTCGACAAAAGCAACTCACGTGATCAGTGGTAGTGATCCATTCAAGGTCCGAATGCGGTTGAACGGATTTTTCAATTGTTTAACACGGTGAAATACGATGAGATGGGTCGCATTCATCCTCATAGGGGTGTGCGGCAGCCTCGATTGCGCCGAGCGGATTGAAGGACGCGTGGCATTTGCTCGCCCAGTCTGGTCGTTTCCAAGACACTGCTGTGCTGGCCTCCTTCTCTCAACCCATTCGCTGGTTGGATCCCACAATCCCATAGTCCGCCACGTCGGCCATAAATGTCAGGCGCTCGGGCTTGCAAATGGCATCTTGGGCTTCCCGATTACCACAGAAACTCTACACTCCAAAAACATTCATAAAAAGAAATGCAGAGTTTCCAGAAAGTGACTTTAGGGGAGGCTGTGGGACATCATTTGCCAATCGCTGATTTGGCGTTGCCTGATAAGTATGCGAAGACATGCGAAATGAATTGCCAGCGAAATCACCAACAAAGACCATTCGTAAGACTTCTCTTTCGCAGTCGCGATTGTCCCATGCTGCTCTGCATCTGCGCCCATATCCCCACCCTAATGGCATTCCTAAGCATTCTGAATTCTGGGATAACCACGAGAAGGTCAGCAAAGTACGGTAGTAGTGGCGACACGGACGACGGTGCGACGCCATGGCGTGCACTCTTCGCGTTAGCTCGTGTCCTCTGTCGTCGTCAGCGTTCGTCGCTCGAAAGTGTGTGCGCAGCCACGTGGCACTAGCTGGTGCCACCAATGGTAGAGTACGCGCTCTCGCGGTCCAGCCGCGGGCACAGGCTTCGGATAAGGTAGGTGTACCTGCAATAATCGCCTTACCATGCGAAATTTGGCGTGCCATGAAATATTCGCCGTTTCATGCGATGAATCTTGCGTCATTCGATAATGCCATAGAAATCGCGCCATGCGATGAATTCCGTGCCATGCGCAGGAGGGCGCGCCGAAGAAGGGGCGAGTAGACACCCTCTTCGATGGCTCCTTCGAATACACCTCTTGGTACGGTATGTATGTGGCCTGCTGCTGATAGGGTATGCATTCGGCTTGGTAATGCGGCATATACATCGTTTGATAATGCGGTATGCATCGTTGCTGCGTGCAAGCCAACGCTACAAGCTACGCATGCAGCTATTTCTGAGGCCTGTGAGAAATAGTCCCTAGCCAACGCTACACTGCGTTTCGCGCTCCCACAGTTACCGTGCCACATTCAACGCACCTCCTCGGCCAACACATTTAACGCACCTACACGCCCCCTTCCATTCCACATCAACACCCCTCCCCCACCCTTCCCCCATCCTCCCCCACCCACCCCTCCCCCACCCCTCCCCCATCCTCCCCCACCCCTCCCCCGCCCTCCATCTCGCCTCCCCAGTGGTATTCAACGAGCTCACAGCGCTCGGGCTCAAGAGCGTGACGCCAGAGGAGGCAGCAGCCATGGCCTACGGCACCACTGACGGCGCAGACACCAGCGATGGAAGTGCGAGTGGAAGCACTGAGGGGAGTGCGAGTGGGCGCGCAGTGTTGCTCGATGTGCGCGAGGCGGGGGACTACGAGGAGGTGCATGCGCGCGGGGCAGCGAGCGCGCCGCTCTTCCGCCTCATCCAAGGCAGCGACGTCACCGCGTGGGCCCGGCGCGTGGGGTACGCGGCAATGGGGGACTTCAAGGGCACGGAGCGCAATCCGGACCTGCTCAAGCAGGCGGAGGCGGCGGTGGGGGGGGATAAGAGCCGCACTGTGATTGTGATGTGCGGGCGAGGCGGCACGCTGCAGAACGTGTCGATGCGCAAAGGCATGGAGTTTAGGGACCCTGACAAGAGATTCGGCATCCAGTCCAGGTATGGGTGGGCGAAGGAGGGAATTGGGGGCATTATAGCTTCACACTGTCCTGTGCTTCGCTCATGCACTTACCGGCATGGAGTGGAATTTAACGAGCGCGTGCTGCACTCCAATGGCCCTGCATTGAATTGTGTGGCTGGCAGGTCTCTCAAGGCGTGCTACGAGCTGCATGTGGCGGGGTTCACGAACATCCTCCATCTGGACGGCGGGCTCAACCTCTGGCTGCACAAGAAGCTGCCCTCCGAGCCTTGATCTAGATGGAAGATATCCAACCAACCAAGCATCATCACTCATCTCACCTGCATTATCCACCAGCAGTTGTACCGCATAAAAATGAAGTATTTTTTTATGTCAACAAACAAGTTCCTTCATGCAGAGTTCCCTGCTGTTCTGCTTGTGCCGTTCACCACAGCACCAGACAGGAGGTCTCTAAAGAACAGTCTCTAAAGATGCTGCCCTCCGAGCCTTGATCTAGATGGCAGATCCAACCAATACCGGTAGTTGTAGACTGGTCTACTTCATGCATCATCACTCACCTGCGTTATGTGCCACCAGTGGCACATCTCGTATCCACCAGCAGTTGTATAGATTAAAAATGATTCAAGTGCAATCCCCAAACTAGAGTGACGAGTGACGAGTGAATTGCACTTGAATCATTTCACTCGTGTATAGCAGGGTGCAAACTATTCTTATTCACGAGTGACGAGTCCCTTTACACCCTGCTGTTCTGCTTTTGCCATGAACCTCCGCACGAGACTGCCAGAGGTTCCTAATGAACTGTTGGGCAAGTTCTGTCCAAAAGGAAGAATGCATTATTGAAACATACACTACAAAGTTAGACAAAATTAGCATGTCATGTCATGCCTATCTACACGACAATGGACCCCTACAGCATCTACTACAGTGACAGCATGGTGAAGTCTTTGTCCTGCCTGAACCTCAACAGAGCTTCCCGAGCCACCCTTGGGATTTCCTCGAGGTCCTCCATCCGAACCACCTTCCACCCGAGCCTCTGCCGAAGCTCGCCAAACTCCTCAGGAGTAAGCGCAGGCTCGGCAACAGGCAAGAGTGAAGAAAGGCTCATTCCCTTCACCTTCAGACTCTCGCCACCGAGCCTACCTCCGAGCCTCTCGCCGGACGACTGGAGGGCTCCAACGGACAGCAGAGAGAGCACCCCACCCATGCCTGCAGGCCCGCTCGCCTCAGCGTTCCTCGCCAACTGATTCAACTGAAGGCCCTCCGCAGGCTCGGGCGACCTGCGCTTTCCGAGCCTGACGTGGCTGGAGGATCGGACATCCATGTCATCTGGCTGCGCGGATGGCGTGTGTGCATATGCGTCCTCATCTCTGCTCGCATCAGCCGGTCGACATGGGGACCACAGCGAGGCGCATTCGATGACTGTCGCGTCGCCCTCCCCTCCTGCACCTGTCTGCACCTCTGCCCTCCTGTACCGCACTTCGCGCTGCTCCCCCTGCGCGTCGCGCCACTGCGGTGCAGGTGAGTGATACAGCGCGTGGGGCGCGGGAGCAGCTGGCTGCGCGAACCTTACGGGTTCCGCCGTCCGCGCAGGCCAAGGCGTCGCCTGCTCCGGCTCCGCCACCACCCACGTCACGCCGTCAACTGCGGCTGGCGGCGCGCAGCCCGCCGCCGCGCGCCCGCCTGCGTGCGCCGGCTGCACAATCACCGGGTGCTCGCTCGCTGCGCGGGCCTCGGCGAACGCCGCGACGGGCAGCAGGGAAGACGGCGCCAGGACTTCGCGCTTCACAGCGACCTCATGCGGCGCGCGAGTAGACGGGAAGGCCGTTAGCGGCGACGCGTCAGCGTTGTAACTGCCGCCGGTGAGCTGCAGTGGGTTTGGCGCGACCATCGCTGGCGACGGGGACGGCATGGACAGGCGCGGCGCGGCGTGATGCAGCGTGGCGCCGGGTGGAGTCGCGTCCACTCCGTACGGTGCAGTCGAGAAGGACGGCGCGGCGATGGAAGGCGGGCCGATCGCGAGCGGCAAGGGGCCGGCAGAGGGGGACGGCGGCTTGCCCCTGCCCGGCCTTCTGCCCGGCGGACCCGCGGGAGACGACTGCTTCGGAGACGCTCTCCGCGCGGAACCGTCCGCCAGCCCCGCCAGGTTTCCCGATTGCTGCGGCGGCTTGCCCGAGGCGCAGTACGCGAGCACGGAGAGAACCTCCGGGACGTCCTCCACGAATTCCGCGTCGCCGCGCTTGAAGTTCGCCTTCGTCTTCGGGCCGCGAATCGCTCGCGCCGCGGCGTCGAAGGCCTGCGCGGCCTGCACGGGGCACGCGAAGGTGCCGAGCCACTTGCGCACGCCGTGGTTGTTGTCTTTAATCTCCGCCACCCACCGGTTGCGCCCGCGCAGGCGCACGCCGATGTACTTAACGGTCGGCGCGTGCGGATCCGACGTGCATCCGGCCGGCAGACGCGAGTAGCACGTGCAGGGCGGCGTGGGGATCGGCGACGGGAGAGCCTCTCCGGAACCGACGGACAGGCGAGGAGGCGGGCCGTCGGGGGGGCTTTGAGCGGCGAACTGTGCGCACGGGGAGTCGGAGCCTGCGCCCCACGGGTCGGAGAAAGCGACGGGCGGCGACTGAGCGAGCGACGCAGGCGGCGGCGGCGACGGCGCCGCGGGGTGGTTCGCGAGGGACGCCATGGAGGCGAGCTCGCGCAGCTTGTTGTCGGGGACGCCGGGCGCAGGGCTGGCGGAGAGCTGGTGCGCTTCAAACACGGGTTGAGGGCTCGAGAAGACAGCCTGCTGATGCTGCTGCTGCTGCTGCTGATGCCAGCGATCCTGAAGCGGGTGATGCACGAACGAAGGCGAGGCGGCAAGCATGCTTCCAATACGGCGATCTGATGAAAGAGAGGAGGTAGCAGTTATTGTGAGAAACTCAAGGTCGCAGAAATGAGAGCCTTTGGAAGGACCAAACCCAATGTGAACCAGAATGAGTGGACAGAAGACCCAGAAAGGAGCAATGTGATCCGCAGTGGGATTGAGGGAACAGCAGGCCAGACTGGTTTAGTCGGCGTACGGCGGGAGGAGGAGAAGCGAGCGACCGCGAAGAGAGGCGAGTGTTGGCGGGCGGAGAAAGAGCAGGATTCAGGACCTCTGGGCGGAAGAGGTGGGGGAGGGGGGAGGAGTGGCGTGAGAATGGGGGAAAGGAGGGGGATAGGTTGGGGGGAACTCACGTGTGTTTTGTGGGTTGGATGTGCGCTGGTGAAGGACCGAGAGAGCGAGCGAACAAAACCTGGGGGAGCGCGCAGGCTCATTGTGCTGACGGTTGTGGTTCGGCAAGTTGCCCAGTGGACACGCGCCGAAGCCACGACAGGAGGATGCGGGCTCGCTGGTTGGTTGAGGGCAAGCGAGGAGGATATGTCACTAGAATGGTCGACGGCAGCCGGTGCAGGTCTGGGGGACGGCGGAAGAGTTACGGCGGAAGGGGGACGGCGGAAGAGTCCGTGTGCTGCTTGCGTCCAGCGCCAATCATGTGGCAAGGCGTGGGGAAGCAAGATCAAGCTGGCAAAGGTTGACGGCAACCGAGGGATCGAATGCCGTTGATTCGCAAAATCGAGATGCTCATCTGTCACCATCGGACGGGTGGAGGCACTGTATCCCCTCCGGTCTTACCCGTCTGTTACAGACCATGGCTGGTTCGGGAAGAATGAAAGGTCTGTTATGGTAAGGAAGGTTCACGTTCGCACAATTCTGGCTCGGTCCACGCCTCTGTTTCGCCACACCAGCCACTGCTTCGGCGATTACAAAGCCATGCATCCAGCCTCTTGCATGTGAAAAGGCTCGGTGTGAGCCACAAGCAACTTGGCTGGGACGGCTTCGGCACGGATTAGGCCCACTAGCAGCCTCGGAGAGACAGCAGTTTTTTAGCGCCAGAAAGTACGTTCGGCTAGTAGACATCGATGTGCTGCACTGCACGCCACGCTGTAATGGTCGCAGTCGAACCGCAGGCTGCAGCTGGATGTGCGTCAGCTTGCCTGCTCCCAGTTTTGGGGCACCAAGGAGCGCCAACCACCGCAATTGCCCATGAGTTTCCAACACAGTCGGTCGGCTGACCTGACGGCTGCAATTGGCCGCCCAACTTGCGAGCTGATGAGCGTGTGTGTGTGCGGGGGTCTGTCGTCTCGAGTCTCGACTCGAGCCGACCTCTCTTGCTGAAGTCGGCAGAATTTGGGTAGGTGTAACTGTCGTTGAGATACGCGCGGCAAGGAAATCATTCATTACCCATAAATGTGTGGCAAGGGCAGCCCATCTAGAACAGGCTGACATTTGAGGGCAAAATATGTGTACTGGAGTGAGATTGTTACACATGATGCCCGACCAGTGCACGCGAATTTGCCATGCACCGGATGGACACGCTGCCCCCGAGGTCGAAACCCCTGCTTGCTGCACCCCATGTACAGGCACATGGATGGCTAACTACAGTGCACGCGGCCCGGCCTCCCCCCCACGTGCAGACCACAACAAGCAGTGCCGACCCATGTTTTCCTTGTTTCTAGGCCAGGAGTCAATCGGACGAAACGACTGGACGAAATGAAAGTGGTTTCGTAAATGCATTCGCCCACCTGCCCCGCCACCTAGGCGAGGATCAAGGTGCGTGTAACAGACATCTGGGCTGGTGCACGCTGCCACGTGTATTCCTCATCTGTGGGGTACAAGCCCATTAACAACCAGGCGTTGTTCGCCTACCCCACGTCAGATCATAACTCTGGTGGTAACTCAGACCACATATTCGAAATTGTAAGCAGGGTGCATGCAACGAACAACCACCACACGAATCAAACCCAGCCACACTGAACGGGCCCCAGCGCTGCTCAACCTCGTCCTCAAACCAAAGATAAAAACCGATGCGCAAATTCACTCAAGCATCGTTCTCTCCCGCCACAGCCTCCCACCATGCCGCGGTTTAATCGCCGTGAGCAGCTCCCGCTGCACATCAAGCGCGCATTATGCGCGCATCACGTCGAGCACCCCCTCCTGCGTCACGTAGATCTCGCCCGCTGGGTTTACGCCCAGTATGGCCTGCGACCTGACCGCTCCACGGTCGGCCGCATCCTGAAGAATGCCGAGCGTTGGGCTCTGGTCGAACCCACTGCCGCCAATCAAGTGCGCTGTCGAGGTGGCGCATGGCCTGAGCTTGAGCAGGCCATGGCGCGCTGGATCGCTAACGCTGGCCCCGCGGGCGTACCACTCACTCTGCAGACGATCCGCGACCACGTGGCGACCATGGCGCGCAACATGGGCATTCCGCCCGTGTTCCGTTGCTCCATTGGCTGGGTTCGCCGTGCGTTGCGGCGCCAGGGAGTGCGATGCCGTGCCGCCACCGGCGAGGCGGCGAGCGCCGACATGGCTGCTGTGCGTGAAGCGCGTGAGAAGGTGCCGCAACTTCTTACTCACCTCGGCTACAAGCCGCGCGACACCTTCAATCTTGACGAGACCGCGCTGTGGCTCTCTGTGCTGCCTCGGAAAACATATAGCAACGCGCGGCTTCCCGGACGCAAGGTCTCAAAGGACCGGCTTACCGTGGCGTTTCTCGTTAACGCCGACGGGAGCCATGTTTTCCGGCCGTTAGTCATCAGCAAGGCGCGCCGTCCGCATGACTTCCGGCCGGACTACGACCCCGAAGCCGTTTGCTACTGGCGGCACAACGCAAAGGGCTGGATGACCAGCCCGGTAAGTGTTTGCCGACCGTGTGCTTTTGCTCGTGTTTGTGTTCTTATGACATTGTGTTAACATTGTTATCTAAGTGTTGTTATAACCTTGTTATAACATTGTTTATTCCCACCCCCCTCTCCCACCCTCCCTCCCAATCCCCTCCAACAGTTGTTCACGCATTTCATATCGCAGCTCAATGCCGCGATGTATGCCGAAGGGCGGCACATCGCGGTGCTGCTCGACAATGCAAGCTCCCATATGCTGCGGGACGAGTGCGCGTGGAGCGAAATCGTCTGCGGCATGAGGACCACCTGCCTCAGCAACGTGCGCCTCATCTTCCTGCCGCCGAACACGACCGCCTTCACGCAGCCCCTCGACCAGGGCATAATCGCGACCGCGAAGGCCCGCTACCGCCAGCACTGGTTGCGGGCCTTCACGGCACTGTGGAACGACGACGGCGCCACAAGCGCCGTCGCCCGCTGGCGCCCCAATCTGCGCGACGTGCTGGGGTGGCTCTCCGACGCCTAGATGAGTGTCGGCGCGCGCACCATCCAGAGGTGCTGGTGGCGCACGGGCTGCCTGCCTCTGTCGTGGTCCATGGAGCTCACGCATGTGCATGATGATGAGCCGACCCCCCATGCTTACCCCGACATTGAGCTCGACGACGACATCGACGACGTCGGCGAGCTCATAAGCGGGCTCGGCCTCGGCACCGGCGCAATGACCGCCGCCGAGTATGTCGCCATCGACGAGGGCGAGCCGACATGCGCGGAGCCGGGGGCGGACCCGACTCCTGACGATGCGGACGTGGGCCTGATCGCGGAGCTATGGAGGGCGCCGACCACGATGCAGGCGGTCTATGACGACTCGGACCCCGTGGGCCGTGAAGCGCGGCGCACAGCACGGGCGGCCTGCGAGATGCTCATCGGCTATGCTCGCGCCGTGAGCGTGACCCCGTGCGACCTTTGCCACCTCTTCGACATTCGTAACCCCATCATCATCGAGCGCATGGAGCGGGCAAGCCCCGCGCTCAATCTCAACACGGCCCCGCCGCCCATGCTTTCGCCGGCCGTAACTCCGACGCCAGGCACCCCGCGTCCGCGGGGCCGAGTGCTGCCTGGCTGGATGACCCAGCCGTCCCGCCGTCAGCAGCTTCTGGACGGCGGGGTTGGCGCCGCGATGGGCGGGTACGTGGAGGCGGCTGAGTGGATGCAGGTGTGAGTTGGGTTTGTGGACTCGTGAGCAGGAGTCGAAGGTTGGGATGGTGGAGATTTTGAAGATTTGTGAAGTGTTGGGATTGTGCACATAACGGACACATTTGCAGTAGAGGGGATGTTGTTGAGCTCGGGGGTGAATGGCCATGTGGTAGAATGTGATTGGCCCGGCTTTGGGTATCAGCTGTTTCAATCTAAGTTGAACAAGTGTTGATGTTGCTTTCTGGGTTTGTTTTGCTTTCGTAAGGTTTTCGGTAACGCGCACATGTGACAATAGGTGCCACCCGACACTGTTACATATCGGACAAAGTGCCTGGTAACCATGTGCGCGTTAAATGCACGCGCAAAGCCTGACGAAACGCTCGACGAACCGACGAAATGACGTTTTAGCTTACAGTCCCCCTTCACAAGGCAACCGGGAGGGGCTCTAACGAGCATTAGGTGTATTGCTAATATATCTGTATGCAAAGAAAATTGAAACATCTTGACGTCTTTCTATATGTCGGCGCATCAAGTTCGACCTGTCCAATCTGCACTGGCGGATGGACAATATCAGAATCAGACCGAGTTGATGACAGCGCATACCACGTCCACGCGACAGCACGCGCTGCCAGGAGGTCTCGGAAATTGCGGTGGCAACACCTCACCTGAATAGTGACCACCTCAGCAATTCTCGATCTTTCCGAATCTGTTTTGACGCGTTTATGGAGAATCGAGAAATTACCTAGGAAACTTACAAGATGCTGACAGGGGGTCCATTGTTGACTAGAACACTCTCATTTTACAGTTACACAGGAACAGAAAATGGCAGGACTCACTATTTTGCACCCCAAAAGCACTTTAGGGGGTACAATGCAAAGGGTTCGTGTTAGGCGTGTACTTTGGCCCCAACCCCTTCGTAACCCTTTTAACCACATTCGGCACCGGGTCCTCTTCTAGCTCGTTATGATTCTAGTCATCAAGTTCAATGTAGCAGCTACATTCCCAAAACAAAAACAAATGTCCAGAGTGGTGGGGGTGGGTTGAGGGACATCTACATTCTCATTTGGACTCATGATATGTATGATGTCAGGAGCTTTTGGTTCCAAAAACAAATGTCCAAAGCGGTAGGGGTGGGGGGATATGATATCAATTTCTTCCACGGTGTATGTTTTCTCTCAAAGTTGTGACGATTGGTGAGGTGAGATGTGCAGCTGTGAGTTGGGGCGGGAACTTTGCAACAATCCTGTAAGAACTGCAGCTGGATATGACATGTGATGTGACTACGTGTACCAGGATTCGTGGATCGGGGTGGGTCAAATCAAAAAGTGTGATGTCATTAAGTTTCAACGGAAGCACAACTTGTAATTATCCCCTACATAACTCATGCCCGTGTAACCTAGAGCTCATCATGCTTGTCTTCAGCGTCATCCGACCCTGCTGCCTCGTCAGCATCCTCTTCTGCAGACTCGTCATCGCCACCAAGACTAATTGTCTCAATCCCATCCTCGCTCTGCAGCCCCCCACATCAAGGTAGATAAGTCAATGTGAAACATGGGAAGGATGAACAAGGGAGACAAATGCAAGGAGTGAGAATAATGAGATAAGAGATATTCCAAATGTGCTGTATGCATGAGAAGAAAAGAGGGCAGGCACAAATATCATGACATTCTCACAGCCATCCCCTGCCATTTGTGCCCACGCATCCTTTCCCACACACCCTGCTGGTTACCACCACTACCCTCACACCTTGGTCTCCTCAACCACCTCTTCTTCCTCCTCCTCGTCCTCCTCCACGCCAGCGTCGGGGTCGATCTTGAGGTTGGTCTTGAGTGCTGAGAAGATGCGCGCTGCAAACTTGGTGGGGTCCTCCAGAGAGAAGCCCGACTCGATGAGAGCTGTCTCGTAGAGAGTTGACGCCACACTCACAGCCGTCTCGTCCTGCACCGCACACAAGGATGATCACACAGACACGCACACATGCATGCACGTGCACACGCACAATCACACAGAGCGTTCACAGGAGGAGGAGGGAGGGAATGGGTCGATCAGAAATGGGCTAGCCAGCTTCAAGGTAGCCAGCGAAAGAGTACCCATCCAGGGATAGCCCCCATTGCACCACCAACTCGCACTGCTGCTCTGCGATAGGCACCCTAAACCCTCAAGCATGACCACTGACTCCCAGGCCCCTCCAAAAAACCCCCTCCCTACGCACCTTGGGGTCAGCAGCAACGAGCTCCTTGAGCTGCTGCACGATGGGGTGCCGCGGGTTGACCTCCAGAATCTTCCTCCCCTTGAGGTACGACTGCCGTGTCGGGTCTCCCAGCGCCTGCGAGGTCATGATTCGCTCCATGTTGGCGCTCCACCCGTACTTGCTGGTTACCACCACACACGGGGACGACGCCAGGCGCTCGCTCAGCTTCACCGCCTCCACCTCCTTGCTGCCCAGCTGCTCCTTCCACCACGCGAGCAGATCCTTAAAGCCCTCCTTCATCGCCTTCTCCTTCTCCTTGCTCTTCTTCCCGCCGAGCTTCAGGTCCTCCTTGCTCGCGTTCTGGAACTTCTTATCGTCAAAGTCAGTGAGGTTCTGCATGAGGTACTCGTCGACGGGCTCGGTGAGGTAGAGCACCTCGAAGCCCTTCTTGAGCAGCTTCTCAATGAAGGGCGACCGCTCCAGCTGCTCGCGGCTGGGCCCCGTCACGTAGTAGATGGCCTTCTGCCCCGGCTTCATGCGCGACACGTACTGCTCCAGGCTCGTTAGCTTCTCTGGGTCGTTCGAGCTGGAGGGTGGAGGGAGGAGTGGGGGGGCAGATTGAAGGATGGAAAGACCTTGAGACGGTGTGTTTTTTGTTCACCACTTGCCCTTCACCCACAATCCACTTTCCACTTTGCCTCCACCCCACATAATCAATCGCGCACTAAGCCCTGCGTCCCACCCATAGGGCCACTAATGATCACGCACGTCTTGAAGCGCAGCAGCTTGGCGAGGCGCATGCGGTTGGACGAGTCCTCAATCACGCCCAGCTTCATGGCTCGCCCAAACTCGCGCCAGAAGTCCTCGTACTGCGTCTCCGCGTCTGACGGCACGCGCTCCTTGTCTGGAGAGGTGGGGGCGGGAAGGTGAAGCAGGGGAACGGGGTTTTTGAGGGTTGTGAGCGGGGAATGGGAGGCAGGCACGTGGTCATTAGGTAGGAAAACTAGTGACCGTGTCGGCTGGTGACAAGAGGTGGTGGAAGGGTGACAATGGGTGCCACGATCATACGGCACACGAGGGGGCGGGACACACGGCACACGAGGGGACAGGATGCACGGTATGTGGGATGGGATGGGATGGGGTGGGTACTGACCATCCTCGTCAGTTTTTCCCTCCTTCTCGCGCTCCTCCTTGGCCTTGGCCTTGGCCTCCTCCTCGTCCTCTGCCAGCCGTCGGATCATATCAAGCGCCTTGCGCACAAGCTTCTTCCGGATCGTCTTCAGGCTGCTGTGCGCCTGCAGCATCTCGCGCGACACGTTCAGCGGCAGTGAGTCGGAGTCAACGAGGCCCTTGAGGAAGTTGAGGTACTTGGGCAGAAGCTCCTCGAACTCCTCGCTGATGAACACGCGCCGCACGTACAGCTTCAGCGCCGCCTTGTTGGCGTAGTAGTTGTCGTACATGTCGTAGGGCGCGCGCGGCGGGATGAACAGCACCGCCTTGAACTCCACATCGCCCTCCGCAGAGAAATGAGTCCATGAGAGCGGCTTGTCTGTGCCGTAGTCCTGCGCGGGCGAATAGAGGCGAAATGGTAGAGAAGTAGCAGGGCAGGGGACGTCGGGGAGCAGGGTGAGTGCAGGGGCAGAGTGGGCCGGGAACACGGAACAGGGAGAAGGGGCCAGGGGATAGGTGCAAAAAGCAGGGCGCAGGAGGCAAGGCGCAGGGGTCAGGGAGAAGGGGGCAGGGAGCAGTGGACAGAGCGCAGGGGGAAGGGTATAGGGGGCAGGGCGCAGGGGGCAGGGCGCAGGGGGCAGAGCGCAGGGGTCAGGGGGCATCGGGCCGTACCTTGGCGAGCGACTTGTAGAACTCGCGGTACTCGTCGTCAGTGACGTCCTTGGGGTTGCGCAGCCAGATGGCCTTGACGCTGTTCAGCAGCTCCCACTCCCACTTGGTGCGCTTCTCCACGCGCGTCTTCGGCTCTGCGCCATACCGCCATGCCGTCACGCACAAGGGAGGGAGAGAAGTGCAACTAAATGAGAAAGGAACTTAGGGAGCAACTTTGCGAGCGGGATGGAAGGAGGGGCTTGAAGGGGGGGACTTTGGATGTGAGAAATCTTGAAACAGGAACACGATGGCATTAGTTGAGAGTGAGACTAGCTGGGTGGGAGGGACGAGACGTACTCTTCTCCTTGTCGTCCTCCTCTTCCTTCTCCTCGTCCTCCGACTCGTCCTCGCTGTCCTTGTCCTCCTCTGCTCACACCCACCATCCGCACAGCACCAGGCCATTGCCCCAGCCCCACACCCCAGCCGCAAAACACATGCAAACATCAATGACGATCCAATGAGACACGTTAAATTCCAGAATTAGCAGCCACTTAACTCTCCATACAAACACCTCTCTCCAATTTCCAGTTTCCAGTTAGTAACCAGTTCTCAAGTATCTCTCCACAGCAATCGCCAGCACGAAAGGAACGATTTGCAGTCACAGCAGAAGACAAGTTAAAGAGCAGCTGTGGTGCGCGGGACGCACCTTCGTCCGTCTCCGTGTCCTCCTTGTCCTTGTCTTTCTCCTCGTCCTTATCCTCCTCCTTCTCCACCTCCTCCTCGTCCACCGGCACCTCCTCGTCCACCTCGCGGCTGCCCCACATGTAGATGGGGAAGTTGATGAACTGCGAATACTTCTTCACTAGCTCCTGCGGAGGTGGCACGGACACACAACACACGCACACACAGCAGACACACACAGCAGACACACACAACACACACACGGGAGCACGATGAAACACACGATACCGCGATGACACACACGACACACCCACACAGCGCCGAGACACCAC